AGTTGTTCCAGCACCATTTGTTGAAAAGACTATCTTTGCTCCGTTTTATCGCCTTTGCTGCTTTGTCAAGGATCAGTTGACTTAAATGTTTCTGGATGTCTATTTCTGGGCTTCCTATTCTGTTCCATTGATATGTTTGTCTACTCTTTCACCAAGACCACTGTCTTGGTAACTGTAGCACTGCAGTAGTCTTGACGCAGGGTAGTGTCAGTCCTCCAACTTCATTCTTCTCCTTCAACAGGCTGTTCTGCCTCTCCTTGTAAAACACATCAGTTTGTGATAACCACAATATAACTTGCTAGCATTTTGTTTGGAATCACATCAAATCTATAGATCAGGTTGGGAAGCAATGTCCTGTTGACAACATTGAGTTTTCCTATCATTGAGTATCGAATACCTATCCATTTGTTTAGTTCTCCGATTTCGTTTATCAGAGTTCTGTAGTTCTCATCACACAGATTTTGTACATTTTTGCTAGATTTATACCTAAGTATTATGTATTTGGGGGCAGTACTATAAATGGCATTGCATATTTAATTTCAAATTTCCAATCTCCTAGGATGTAGGAGAGTCGTTGACTTGTATATATCAACTTGATATTAAAAATGTTTTTAATTTGTCTTAAAATTTCTGCTTTGACCCATGTGTTATTTAGAAGTACACTGTTTACTCTCTGTGTGTTTTCTTTTGGAATATTGCAGGTATGTTTCTGTTATTGATTTCTAATCTAATTCCTGTGAGGGCTGAGGGCAGAAACTGTATGATTTCTATCCTTTTATATTTGTTAAGGTGTTTTAAAATGGCCCAAAATGTGGTCTGTTTTAGTAAATGTTCGACATGAGCTTGTGACGAATGTATATCCCACTGTTGCTGAGTGAAGTCCTTTATAAACATCAATTTTATTCAGTTGACAGATGGTGTTACTGTGCTCAACTATGTCCTTACTGACTTTCTGGCCCCTAGATCCATCCATTGGTGATAAAAGGATGTTGAAGACTCTAACGTAGATAGTGGATTCATCTGTTTCTCTCTGCAGTTCAATTAGTTTTCGCTCATGAATTTTGATGCTGCATTGTTAGATGTGTCAGAATTGGGAGAATAAACTCCTTTTTCATTATGTAATACCCTCTCTTTTTCCTGATAACATTTTGAGCTCTGAATTTTTCTTAATTAATATAGCTACTCTAACTTTTTTTTATTGTTAGCAC